TTTCGGCTGATCGTGACGGCCTCGGCAAATCGTAAAAGGCGCGCATTGGTACGACGTAACAAGACCCGGAACGCTGATAAGGGATTAACCCGGTGACGAGTCGCCAAGATGTGCCTGCCTATGGAGGACGCTGGCGGCTTACCTGAGCACGTATCATCGGAGGCAGCTTGAGTAACTTCGCGCTGAACCCAGTTTGGTAAGTGCTCCTTCACTCTGGAATCTAAAGCCCGTTCGGTCCTGCCGATGTAACTGATACCGCAGTCACACGAGAATTGATAGACAATGTGATTTGGCGCCGACGGGTTCATCTTCCTTTACTGAAGGTAACGGCAACTTTCGGGTTCTGTTGATAATTACCGCCTCCGCAGCACAGTATGTACGCTGAATGACCGAGACAATGCGTTTGGTTATCTTTCTTGCTGCGATGTCACCCTTGAATGGTAGTTCGATGTACGTCTTTTCCTTAGGGACTGTCAACACCATCTCCTCGGGGGGTCTAACTTGGCTGTGTTTGTCTATGAATCGCTTTGGGTAGCCATTCTCCATAAGTGTTTAGTGATCAGCACAAACTTCTCAGGCAGGCAGTCGGTGGAGCAGACACGTCTAGCACGAGTGAATAATGTTTTTACCAGCGTGCGCTTGCGTGCCATCGGTGAGAAACTAGTGAAGTGTAGGTATTGCTCGGACCACATTGGCTTCCAGTATACAGATCGCTTAACCAGCCCATTATCTCTGCGACTCATGAGAATGTCGCAATACGGAAACTAAGTGGACAGATTTCTCAGCTGCCGTATTACAAACCATATGTAGATGATATCCTTGTTTTCGGTTCCACGAAGATGCAAATCAAACAATTAGTAGACCAACTTAATAATATTCACGGCAACCTGAAGGTGACTTTTGAATTCGAATCGAATGGGCGTCTTCCGGATATCCTCCACGGCTTCGCACTGTAAGTTGCTTCAGTAATATCGAATTACCGCTTCTCCTTTTGTGAGCCTGTCGTTCCGGATCAGTGACAGGCCCGGTTTCGAACATTCAGCGTCCGTCATTCCAGTGTGCAACCATGTCATAATAACACCGATGTATAATATGACCTGGAAGCTTGGCGATCTTTAGGTTCGGCCAGTTTATTAAAAGGACTCTGAGCATTCGTATACAAGCAGGCCAGTTTTTCAGTCCCTATGACCTCACAGATGACTAAAGGGGTCAAGTGTGGCAGATTACCGATATATGAGAGTTCGGCACTTACTCGTTTCTCTGATTGGGAAATGATACCTTGTCTGAAACTTGTTTCGGCCAATGTGCCTCCCAATCTTTGTTTAGACCTACCTCAGAGTCAAGTAAAGCAGCAATCAGATTAAGCTGCTGTCCCATCGTCGGTACGTTTGCAGCTTCAGGTGTTTTGATATTCGAACTTTGCAAAGCTTCTGCGACCTTTAACCGTAAGTTCAGAAGGGCAACTTTTACGATTGCTCCGCAATCGATTCAAAACATACGCTGGGTTTTCCTCTGAATGAACCACAACTTTTAGCATTTAAGGATCGCATCCTCTATAAGTTGGTGAGAGAGGTATCCTGGTGAGTGAAATCTCTACAATGTTATCCAGAGAAAGTGTTATCACGAATGAACCGCCACTGTTCTAAATCGTGCTTTCCGGCCACTTGAACATCGTAAGAAGGATGTTCTGGCACGCCACGTATGAAGATGGTGTTTAGACGGTCTTGCTTCCTGTGTCCCTCTTCGGTACTTATTTTGATTGTCGCACGCCTCAAGGGACATCAGTATAGATGCGTATCCCACCGGATCCGTGTCTCAGCGCGCTCGCGGAGAGCAAAGCATTTTCTACGTCGGTGGAAGATCCTAGTGTTACTCGAATAAGTCTGGGTTCTCCATAGTGTGGCGAGTTCGGATGACGTGTAATTTTTACTAGGTTTATGGGTTTGCCTTTGACACACATCAGCACGTACAATGAGCTCCACAGGTCTTGGTCGTCCGATTACTTACCGCGCAATGTAATGGCACTATTGCTAGATTCGTTTTTCCGTTATCTACAAGGTAGGGTAATCGTTTGTCCTGATCTGCTGACAAGTGTTGATCGTTTACTATTTGTCCATCTATTCGCTTTAAAGGTGTTTACAACAGAAGAGGCCGCAACGACGGCGTTCCGGCTGAGCTTTGCAGCAATCACTGCATAGGTAACTGAGGTTCGAGGAGGCTGTGTCTTGACAAGAGACATTTGAGCTACAGGTACCGGGAGTTGATGTTCGACTGCTTCAACCCTTCTTAATGCTAGATGTCAGGTCATGTGGAATTTATTTAACCAGACGTTTCGAGTGGTGCCTGATTTTCGTTGCCATGAGTACTCTTCGACTCTCGTAGGTACGGCCAGTTTTGACCCTGCGTTCTACCAAAGTTGGAGAAGACAACGGAGATGGGGACGTGGATGATTGCGGTTCAGGGGAAGTAGATTGTGCAGCATTCCGTTGCTCAGAATCCACTACGCTTCGCTGGTGCATACTCGCTTCCATTGGACTAATCTTATCGTTTAGTTTCTGCTCGGCTTCTGCGGTTAACCGGTCGCACTTCTGGAATAGGATAAGCAGACACATAATGAGTGGGATGGTCGAGCACGCAGTACAGAAGCAAAGCGCATCTTGTGAGCTATTTCGCTCTGATACCTATTGTTGGGACACGTTTGCACATTTCAGATGAGGCCATTGCAAACATTGCGAACAAGCCAAATCTATTTTAATTAATCGATGACATTCTCCCAACCCGCAGCTGCCTTGTGTTTGGAGCCTTTTCGGATTCGCATTGCTGCCATTCAACGTGGTGTCGTTACCTGATACAGTGGATTGGATGACGTTCTGTACTGTTCCAACTTTGAGAGCGGCGCACGTCGGTCAGGCGAGCTTTGTGATTGCAAGGTCAAATGAGCGGTCGGCGTGGTCCGTGTGATGGGTTATGCAGGTGCACTGGCTGACAAGTTCATCGGGAATGGCGAGTGACTGGAACCTGCTAACTAAATCTGTACACAGCTCAGACGAGGCGGCCAGCATCCAGGATGGTAGCATGTAATTGAGTGACGTAGTACTTCTGTCAGTTTCTTCACGGATCTTTTATTGTGTTACTTTTTGGATAATTCGAGCGTTCGCAATTGCGTGAAATGCTTGTACCTCGAGAGGCTTGTTCGGTTGTTGTGGTGTTCACCGATTTGTGTAAGTTGACTGCAAACAGTTCATCGCCATTCGACCATACATAATCAGTGCAGGAGTGGTTGCAGTTTCTTAGCAAGAGCTGGTGGTAAGCAAATCCAGAGGTGGAGATCAACTTTTGGATTTATCTAGTTCGGTAAACACCAATATTCGCATAACAGGTACAATATAGTCAAGTCATACACATCCAGATGGACTGTCAACAGGTATGCGGACAACGGGATCACGCCAACGAGTCGGATGCTGAAGCAACGCACCTTCCAGTGCGGCGCCGAGTGGGTTGTTGCCGAATAACAGTTTTCGGTCATTGTCGCTACTCATCGGGCACCCCGACGTGACAGGAGTAATAATTCTAGAGTAGCGGGGTTCAGTGATAGCCAGTGTCTTCATGTCTTCAAAGTTGCGCGTTCCACGCATCCACGAAGTTTGTATGCTCATCCTGATAAACTCGTGGACTGTGTGTAAAATTCTATGGAGGGAGTACGCAGCAGGCGTTTACCGTCTTAACGGAGAACAGCATAGACTAGGAAGTGCACATGCCTGTCCAACAAACGCTACCAAGCAACCCGCGCTTAAGGAATATATCGGTGCACAAATACAAGGACCCCAGCAACCTGCGTGATCTAGAAGTACTGGAAAGTCCTTGCGACCCTGCTTTTATCCGGTGACTAATCTACCGTCAGTATAGTCGAACATTTTTGGTTTCGCGACTGCACTGCATAGGTGTAACTTTGTGATAGGTCCGGTATCAACGTAGGTGGTCTCAGGGGCATCACAGGTGGGCGTTTCCATTACACTTGTGTACGATTGAGTTATTCACAGCACGTTGACGTTCAGAAGATTCAGTTAAATTAGAAACTTTTTTGTATGAATACCAAGAGAATGTTATACATTGAACTACTGGTAACATGAAACAGCCCGCAGCTGTACCATAACAAAACAATCTCAGGCATGTTCCTCTATTGCGCATCTCAAGTGCAGTGTGGTTGTACGCATTAGCGTCCTGCGACATCCATCCAGCTCGCTCTTAACAGTGTGGCATTAGTTCCTCTTTCTCGCATTTGCTACTTGGATTGAAGTCTCCGCGATCGAGTATCTTTGTTTTGTGCCTGTTCATAGTGGTACTTGCGCAGTCACTTACGAAATATGCAAAGTTGCTCAGACTGTTCTCCTCTAGCTTGCAAGTTATTGTGCTCCGGAGAAGCCTTACGCATCATTTTATTCGGCTTCCGATCTGAGTAACCAACGGAAGTAATCACATTTTTATCGGCAAATACCTTATTGTCTGCAATGGTGGCTGGCTGATGAGTCGAGTGGGGTTTACTAACTTCATGCTAACACAGCTTGACCGTGTAAACAACCCCAAGCTGACTTTGCACAGTGAGATGACGGCCGTTTCGGTGTTGTATAACATCTTTTTGCACACCCGACTTTGATTATTGATGGGTCACCTGACACTACCTTCATCTCTACGCTAGTTATCTGGCGCAGCTGTTCACATCGACCAGATGGAGAGTGGAAACGTTGCATGCGTTCCTTTGTTCTGGAGCTGATAGTCTTGTCTTCCCTGAATGGTCAAGCCCCCCCCCCCCACGGTGCTGGTTACCATTTGGTCCTCTGGTCGTAACCGATTTCGTCGACACTGGACGCACCATATTTATTTCGTTCTGTTACATCCTTGTGCTCTATAATCTCGTGCGTATCAGCCAAATATGGCTCGATTAAGTTTTCCCCACCCTCCTCTTTTATCCATGAGTCCGTCTCTTCTCCAATCGATTGTAGAACCAACCGTAGAACTGAAGGGCCCAAACGGACTGGTCAAAAATGGTGACAAGCTCACCCTGATTTGCGAGGCCCGGGCATACCCACGCGCTGATGTCACTTGGCATTTGAGCAGACTTGGTGACAAGGGCAAGAGCCGACAAATGCCCAGTGAGTTTTGGTGTACACACTCATTACTATTACTTCTGTGCCGCTTTTCGTAGGGTCTCCTAGTTAATCACCAGATTGTGACCGGCGCCATGTGGGGCATGATGTCTGAAATCAGTGGAGTTAGCTTTTGTCACTGACCTGAACCACCTTGTATACTTGGTGACCTATTGGGGGAGTATCCAATCGGTGGTCGAGCTACATGTAGAGTCAACTGTGTTTGGGGTTTGTCAACACATCTAAAGCATGTATGAAATAGAGCACGTTAGATGACTAGTCATTCCGTCTCCGGCCACCGTCAACGCATCGGGGAGACGTAAGGAATGCAACTTATAGTAGCTTACCGAGTTAGGTGTAAATGTAGCTCCTTAGTGAGAATCAGATGACAAAGGAGGATGTAATGCATACTTCTACACACATACACTTGAGGAACTTTAACAAAAGATAAGCTTGTGAGTACATCAGGAGCGAACAAAACATCAACAGCGTTGTCAGCCATCCTGCGTTGTCACGACTGCACAACAGTGGTACGCACTGTATGATCTAAACTCTTTTGTTGTGGTAGTGCTGACTCCCCCGCAAATTGCGGTATGTGTATCGCGTGTAGTTGTGTATCAGGATTGAAATTCCACATAATTCCACAGCAGTTTTCATGGCCACAGCATTTTGCCTGGCTAGCGTGTGTCATTCAGTTGTTAGTGAGTATAGGCATCCAGTTCAGTGAACATGGTGAAGATAGAACGAACACGTAGTTTCGCTTCTTTACTCCGGTTGTTTACGCTTCCAATGCCAGTAGTGCAACACATTGATCGATGCATATGTGTACCCGGCAAACAGCAATACCTACGAAAGTGGTCGTGTTTTCTTACCTAGCTTATTCATGCAATGTGCCGCCATTTACATGAGCACCACTGTTTGAAATCGAGTACAACTACAATCCCGAAGTGGCTACGGAGCATTCTTGACTTCTTACTCTCACAGATGTCAACATCAACTCTGGGCGCAGCCCTTTCTCGCCCGGTGCTGCCCTAAGAAACACACAAACTAGTTGTCTGTAAACCGCTTCGTGACAATGGCATCACAACTAATTCATGAAGACATCCGTTTGAGACAATAAGTGCGCAACGCTGACCAACAGCTCAGTTGAGTATACGGAATCGCATCAGTTGCGCCCTAGCTGCACTAAACTGCACGATTGTAACGGTACTGTGGTACAGTTTACATGTACCAGATTGAAGACCTTGAGATGCATCACGATCAGCTCATATTAGTCTGATCCGCTTTGTGTACTTGCCAGATCTTGTCATGTGGTACTTGTTGAACAGCTAGGGACAAGTCCACCTTGGGGCGATCCATAGGCCCAGCCACGAAACTCCTCTAGCAAACCCTCGTCTGATCTGTCTCACGGGTATACTGACGCACTCGACCGGCACGCCAGACGAATGTCTATAGACAAGAAAGTTTACATTCACCCCATAGCGACGTGAACCATGTGCCCTTATTCTCAATTTTGGCAAATGAGAAAACTACTGCTCGTCATGGGTAACTCAGTCGGATGAGTCGTACCATTCACCCAATGGGCGTGATGCTCAGTGTGCCTCATGCTAATGACATATGTGGATCCTGTGCCAAACTTGTCAACGTGGGTATTCTGTGTTCCATCTGTTGCAAGATTTCCCTTGCGAAATGTCTCATAGTGAAATCAGATCAGGCCAAATTTTAAACAGCCAACCAGCTTCTCTCTGGTTCTGCGTGAAATGCACGTCTATCCCACTGAGAAAAGGCGTGTTCCTATTATTTTAGAAGCAAAACCAACTACTAGCCAAGGTTGAGGAAATAGTAACCACGAAAATCACCGCTGTTGGGGGTAAGCAAATCGGATTGTGCAGCTTACTCTTCCCCAGTAAGCTGCTGCACTCCTGAGGAGAATAGCCGGTAATACCGTAAGCAAAACTACCAACATCCCAGAAAAGCCACTTCTGTTTCAATATTACAAGCGACTCATATTCTACTAACCCGTTCCTCAGTTCGATCGGAGTAATTAAATGCGAGGCTTTGCCCAATCTCCCGACTGAGAGCATAACCAAAGTGCAAGCGGGTATGGGTGAAAGTTGGGTTAAGCTTGGTTCTCAGAAGGGCAGACATTTAGAATTAGCAGCACCCCAACTGGATTTGAAATCGAGGAGCGGAGCGGAATTCTCCTGATGCAAGCACCCGCTTTTCTGCGGTACATCACCGAGTATATCCATCACTACCTGTGACAGGTTGAAAGATGCTATAAAATAACTCGTATAAGTGTGCTGTACTCCAATGTCCCAGAATCAAATTTGACAGCAATTAGTGGCAGACCGTTGGATGACTTCAAACAATGGGACGTCATTAGTAACCTACTCGGCACTGTGGTTAAACCTGTACATGTTTGCGAAACACGCGGCATACCAACTCTGAGCGCTAAGGCGAACCAAGACGTTTGCTCGTTACGTTGAACTTTATTTCCGAAGTAGAATCAGTCCAGCTGTCGACGGTCGATTCAGAAATGAAGTGTGTTCGATCCGCATCTTTCCAGACACCATACGAGGCAATCGTTATCGAAGTACCCTCAGCTTAGAAGACCACCGGAAGGAAACTTTAGCCAGAGCCATCCCTGTCCATGACGTTCCTGAAACTGGTGCATGCGATGAACCTGAAATCACAACCCATGATGAGGAAAAATGGTGTTACATTCGTGAAACACTTTTCTTGAATGACGTGCTAGTGAAATCGGTGTTACGACTACGCATATCACCGAGCTACAAACGATGTGGCCCAGGAGTATTGAAGGTAGTTCGGTGGTCAAAAGCAATAGTAGCACCACTACTGAGAAACTTCTTTTGTGAGGGCATAAGTTTCTCATCGAATACCAGGCTGTTTTCTTCGCACTCAAGTAATTCATATTCCATACACTTTCTGTCAATGGCCTCCATAATGCAATCGGGCTCTTCCTCTAGGATATTATGCCCACCGTAACTCACCTACGGTGGCTCGCACTTACATCAAACTGCATCCAACGCGCCTGTGTGTTTAGGCAAAATAACAGAGGTCGTTTGTTTTGCGGATGCAATTCACTGAGAAATGCTCTAGATGGACTTTGTTTAGTGGTAGGGGTTCTCTTCAATTTGAATTTACATTCGTGAAACTGTGGCAAGTCATATCATTCCTTACACTCCGTGTGTGTCCTTCTTGTCGTTTGACAGGTGATTCTGAAGACATCACCGTGTCGGTTCGTGGCGGCGCATCGCAGACACAAGTCACATCATATCTGCAAATCACCAACTTCAAACTGGATTACGAGGGAGAATACAGCTGTATGGCCGAAAATGAATTTGGCACACACGTCCAGTCTACGTCGCTGATTCTGAAAAATTAGGAGTTTTCGTCGTTGTTTGATTGATTACTTGCGCTTGTATTATCACAGCATTCATGTAACCACTGCCACTGTGCCCTGTGTCTCTACGTTACAACTGGATCTGCTTGAACTTTCCTTATATAGCTTGTAAAGTATCCATAATTATTCTGGAGAGAAAGTACCGTTTCACAATAGGTAGTTATTTTCTTGCTTCTGCTGACAATGTAAATTCGCGTAACCCCTCCATAGACTCAACTAGACAATGTGAAAATACAGGACGATTTGGAATTCGGTAGCCAGATAAGGACATCAAAATCGATTTTCGAGTATTCATTTACAACTGATTGGTTGGTGCCAACTCAGCTTATCTGTCTCTGTAATAAGCTTCGGGGACTTTCAAACTTACCCTGTCATCTGTGACAACGGTTCTGCTGAAGTCTCATTTTCCATGGTAACGCAGTTAGGTGGAGAAGTTAAAATAAACGATTATTATTCCGCTAACAAGCCTACCCATATTGACCATCCTTCAGGCGTTATCTCTTCGCAAGCAATTCACGATACTTTCATCAAATTGGATGAAACGATGCGCTTCAGTAATTCCGCTTGCCACGATGCCGCTATAAAAAGATGCTAACTCCGTCCACTGGAACTACCTTAGATTGTTGCGACAGTAGACAGCGGCTCTGTGTACAACTTGCTGACAGCTGTTGGCGTGCTGTGCTGTTTTTCAAGCGTACCTATAAACACTTGGGGACTGAGGCTAGTCTTAGTTCAACCTTCAGTTTAGTCCCTGTACGTACGCAGCAGTCTGATATTTCTTCTGGTTAAGCGCTATCCAAGTGAGAGACCAATCCCATGTTTCTTTCGGCTACAACTGTGGGAGATCACCCTGACTGCTTCAATCTCTAACCGGATTTGGTGTCTAGCCTGTTATATCTATCAAGCATGATCCTGGTATCCGATCGCATTGACGATCGAAGCAGCAGACCTTACTCATGACTTGACTGCTGGCGGGTAACCACATCGTGAATGAGCCCCGCAGAAAAACACAAAGTGCTTGCTGCGATCAATGATGTCGTTTTGCGCTGGACTTCACCCTAATTAATATCTAGCTGTACCAATAGGGCACATCGATTAATCGTGAGCATCTATGACGTTTACAACATGAATATTGAATTCTACGTAACCGACTTGTATTTAATATAAACTAGTCATGAGGAAAAGTTTAGTGGTGCTGTCCGATGGGGCACGTGTAGTGAACCCGCTACACCCCAGGTTTTCGTGCAGCCACCATCCCTTTTGACGAGAGGTTTCTGCGAACGGTACACCTGATGTTGCAGATCTTTCATTCACTCTCATTTAGCCGACATATGTCCTCAGCACACTCATCTCGATCCTTGTACGTTTTCTGAATATTTGGATTGGTCGTTCGCGCTGATACCTCTTGTTTTTCTAAGGTGTATCTTCACTAATACGAGCAAATGTGCGACGACTTCATTATCATATACCACAGCAACGCAATCATTTCTAATGAACTGCCAACTGAGTAATTCCCATTGTGTAAATCCGTTAAAGCTAGACTCAGTCAGACAGCCATCAAAAAATTTGGGAAATCGCTGGCAGTTGTTTTTTCCATTTGCAAATCACTATTATTACGTATTGCCTCTGTCCCCAGTACTGCAGTAATGTGCAAGTCAGTGGGGGTTGAGTCGCGCTGTATCACACCTGCCAGTTTGGCGACGTCGGTCCTTTTCGTCCCTCGTAGCACAACAGAATTAATTACAGAACCATAAGAAGGCTTCGAATTCTTGCTTTACAGCAAGCAGTTGGAATGGCGAAAAGTACAGAAAGGGCGAAGTTGACATCCAGTGTTTTTCAGGACTGCGATGGCTTTGACTTAGTCGAGCGGGAATGAAACTCAACTCATACCATTTAAGTATTTGAGCGTTCATCGCAGCAACTCACAAATCAGATGGCGTTTCAACTGCCCGGAAAAGCGCTAGAGGGCCATTTCGACCTGTTGAGTCCTGTCAGTAGCGCATCCGTCGGATCCGACAGAGCAGAGGGCTAAGGTTATTCACAAACACTTTTGGCGTGCGTTCCCTTGGATAATTTAGACTATTCCTCTCTATTCTCTCTCCATCTTTTCGCAGTGTTGTCACTGTACGCTCATTCGGACCGGATTTACCAGCCCTATACAGTGATCCATCATACGTGGAATTATCTTCCACGATTAAAGTCCGTGGCATCACTAACGGTATTCACTGGCGCCAGTGATTAAGCGCAAGCAGATAACTCAATTACTTTGAGCCGACTGTCTTTTGTGTGACACCATTCGCTACAGAATTCCCAAGGCAATACGAAACGCCTACGCTTATTCCAGTCCGGCGTTTCTCAAAGTAGCTGTAAAAGAATTTGTGAGTTCTCCATCTGTCTTCAGCGTTGTGTCCAGATTCAGTTAGCAGATTCCAGTCACTTGCCATACCTTTTCAAGTCAAGTCAAGGTAAGCTTCATATACCCCAGAGGGTACATTTCCAGCATTTTACAATACCCACTGTGGATGTTTTAACGTAACATCATTCAAAATGCAAAATTGTACAACTGGATAAAATCGCATTAAAAGTACATGTGTCAATCAAATAAACGATCCTACGTCTGCATTCGATCCGGACAAGAATTTCCTACATTACCTAGCCCGTTCGGCAACTTCGCGCGATTCGCGCAATATCTCAAAGGCCATTAACAAAAATCGGCAGGGATGGCATTAGTGACCTTACAACTAATCTAACAAAATGAAGCGCCAAAATGTTCAGTGGAAACTGTTAAATCCGCAGCAGACATATTAAGAGCGATGTTCCGGTGAAAAGGCAAAGAAAATTTAAAGGCCCTGCCTCCCTTGTGAATTTGTCAGCCAGTGCGCCTGCATCACCCATCACACGGACCACGCCGACCGCTCACTTGACTTTGCAACCACAAAGCTCGCCTGACCAACGTACGCCGCTCTCAAAGTTGGAACAGTACAGATTGTCATCCAACTCACTGGATCAGGTAACGACACCACGTCGAATGGCAGAAATGCGAATCCGAAAAGGCTTCAAGCAAAAGGCATCTGCGGGTTGGGAGAATGTCATCGATTAGTTAAAGTCGATTTGGCTTGCTCGCAATGTTTGGAATGGCCTCATCTGAAATGTGCAAACGTGTCCCAACAATAGGTATCAGAGCGAAATAGCTCAGAGGATGCGCTTTGCTTCTGTACTGCGTGCTCGACCATCCCACTCATTAGGTGTCTGCTTATCCTATTCCAGAAGTGCGACCGGTTAACCGCAGAAGGCGAGCAGAAACTGAACGACAAGATTAATCCAATGAAAGCGAGTATGCACTAGGGAAGCGTAGTGGCTTCTGAGCAACGGAATGCTACACAATCTGCTTCCCATAAACCGCAATCATCCACGTTCCCATCTCCGTTGTCTTCTCCAACTTTGGTAGAACGCAGGGTGAAAACTGACCGTATCTACGAGAGTCGAAGAGTACTCAAGGCAATGTAAATCAAACACCACTCGAAACGTCTGGTTAAGCAAATTTCACTCGACCTGACACCTAGCATTAACAAGGGTTGAAGCAGTCGAACACCAACTCCCGGTACCAGTAGCTCAAATGTCTCTTGTCGTTACCTAGCCTCCCAAGACCTCAGTTACCTATGCAGTGATTGCTGCAAAGCTCAGCCGGAACGTAGCCGTTGCGGCCTCTTATTTTGTAAACACCGTTAACGCGAATAGAGGGCCAATGAGTAAAGGATCAAAACTTGACAGCATGTTAGGACAAACGATTACCCTATCGTGTAGAGCAACGAATAAATGATGCAACAATAGTGCCCGCATTGTTGTATGCTCAAATGTCCCCGAATCGACCACCATCACATTGTGGGGTAAGTTATCGGACGACCAAGAACAATGAAATTCATTGTAACTGCTGATGAGTGTCAAAGGCAAACTCATAAACCTAGTACGAATTACCCGTCATCCGAACTCGCCACACTATGGAGAACCCAGACTTATCCGAGCAACAGTAAAATCTTCCACGGACGTAGAAAACGTTTTGCGCTCTGCAAGCGCGCTAAGACACGGATCCAGTGGGATACGCATCTATACTGATGCCCATTGGAGTGCGGGACAATCAAAATAAGTACCGAAGAAGCAAGCAAGACCGTCTAAACACTATCTTCATACGTGGCGTGCCAGAACATCTTTCTAACGATGTTCAAGAGGCCGGAAAGCACGATTTAGAACAGTGGCGGTTCATTCGTGAAACAATTTCCCTGTATAATATTGTAGCGCTTGCACTCACCAGGATACCTCTCTCACCATCTTATAGTGCATGCAACCCTAGAATGCTAAAAGTTGTAGTTCATTCAGATGTTTTGAGTCGGCTACGGAGCAATCGGAAAAGTTGCCCTTCTGTACTTCCGGTTAAAGTTCGCAGAAGCTCTGCGAATTTCGAATATCAAAGCACCTGAAGCAGCACACGTACGGACGATGGTACAGCAGCTTACTTTGACTGCTGCTTTATTTGACTCTGATGTGGGTCTAAACGAAGATTGGGAAGCACATTGGCCGAAATAAGTTTCAGACAAGGTATCATTTCCCAAACAAAAAAGGAATAAGTGCCGAACTCTCAAATATATGTAATTTGCCATACTTGACCCCTTTATCCATCTGTGAGGTCATAGAGACCGAGAAACTGGCCTGCTTGTATACGAATGCTTAGAGCCTTTTTAATAAACTGGCCGAGCTGAAAGCGCCAAGCTTCCATGTCATATTATACATCGGTGTTATTATGACATGGTTGCACACTGGAACGACAGGCTCACAAAATAGGAGGGGTAATTCGATATTACTGAAGCGACATACAGTGCGAAGCCGTGGAGGATTCAGACTCGCCGTTCCCCGACTCTCTTTGGTGCCGCTTGCAATTAAAAGGCAAAGACCCTTGGCTTATTATCTTGGTGTACCGACCCCCTAACTATACACCCGAAACCGACTGCCACCTTACGGTTGATTTAGATGCAGTTTACAGCGAAAAACACCCACATACTTATCATGGGTGATTTCAATGTACATTGTTTAGAAACTCTTGCCACGATCGGAGAACACTTCAGAGCGGATCTACCAGATCTCGTAATTACTGTTCCCTTTTACAATCACATCACTTT